CCTCGTATAGTTGATGTGGTGTTAGTTCCCCATAAAGTCTTTTGCGTTGTCGGCGTCTTATGGACTGAGCTGCACCATTGTTATCGTCGTAAAGAAGTGACGTTGCCTCAGCCCCTGGATTGTGTAGCCGTAGTGTCTCGAGCTTGGCCTCTTCGCAAAATGCTGCAACCAGTTCAGCTTGATTGAAATAGGGCAGCAATGTCTGGTCATGGTCATCTAGGCCTTTCATAAAAATCTTCACAACGTTTTCCTCCTGTATTACAATATCGGGGGCGTGCGAAGCTTCGTCTTCACCAAGATCCTCGGCTGAATTTGTTTCATCTTCGCTTTCATCCCCGCTCTCTTCACCATCTTCCTCGACCCCAAAGTGACGAGTCCTGTTTCCTTGTAGGCTATCTGTTTCTTGGCAAGACAGTCCTACCGAATGAAATGGATTTTGGATGTAGTCAACATAGGGCTGATTCTCGCTACTCCTCAGAAACTGTCGGTGAGTTGAGAATTCTTTGCTCCATGAAGGTTTCAAAACAAGATGAAAACTTCCTCCATGTTCGAAGTGCTCCATGTTTCTTGTAATGTTCGTCTTTCATGTTGAATACATATTACTAGCCTGTCCGCCCAAGCATTCGATCGATACGGATATAGCTGCAAGCAGGAGGCCATGGACACTACGAAGATTGACTACCCAGGAGAACAGTGCTAAAGTATGCTTACTTGTATACGGCAATGGAGGCTGTGCATCTCTACTGGAGAAAGACGGGACTCCTTCGGGTCACATGGGGGTTTCAAGAACAGTCGGTCACTAATTTCGAACGGAGTATTTGTGCAGAACTGTTCAAGTGGTCGATAGTCCAGCCACGACTGTTGGGCCAGGGAGGCGGTGTAGACGGGCCTTGCCAACGTCGATGCCAAGCTCTGAACCTAATATTCGAGGGTAGCAAGCGCACCATCACCAGTCGTCATCAGAGATAGGCTTGTGGCCCAAGAGACGGTGGTGATCTAACCCGAGCCGCATGCACCTGTCAGGCAAGCGAGATGGTGCAGGTATTTCTGACTCACATCTTAGCAAAAATACGCAGCCCGTCATAATTGTAGATGTAGCGCGATACCCGACGATTGGGAAGATCCTAGGTAGTGACCCGGCGTTGTGGATGATGTTTGCCCGACCACAACGGCGGTCATATAGTGTGTCCATTCATGCAAGACCAGCGGGATCCAGTGCACGTCTATGACGGTGTTTAAGGCTGGGAGGTATTCATACCGAACATGCAAGAATACGTGGGCACGTCTCATCGATAAGTTGCCCCATCCTTATACTGTGAGCCTCACTCGAAAATTGTTCACTTCCTTTTACCTTGGGGCCCTTCGCAAGCATGAGTGGAGCGTAGGAGCCTGATCATTTGTGAATGAGGAAGCGCATAGGAAATCGACGGATGAACAATCTCGGTATTGCCGTGCGCGTGGTAAATTTTGTTTCCGGTTGGAACGTGGCTATCCATCAGGCACATCGGGCAGCCGTATCAGGCGACATCGGGAATTGAGGCGCACGCACGCAGGCATTTGGGAGCAACCCAGCACGGTGTCAGGACTGACTGACTGATCTAGAGTAGGGAGGGGCTTGAGTTTGGTACACAGTAGGACGAATGAACGTGCGAACGATGAAATCTGATACCAGCATAGAAAATACGCGCGCAACCTTGGTTAACGACCAAGACATCAAATTAGGCCTTGATGCTCTCTTCCCTATTCTTCCCTACTCTTCCCTGCCTACCTTGAATAAAGAGAGCCGTGCACGCATAGTTCGTCGCAGTCCTTAAATGCTTCGTCTGTCACAAGCTCCAGATGGCCCGGACCGGCCCCAGGTTGACAGGCGGGCTGGTGGGTGTGCTGGACGAAATAGTTGCAGATTACAAGTGTCTCAGGGAGGAAGCTCGGGCCGCTTTAGCTCGGCTCATGGGAATCTGAGGTCGGAGCGTAGGCGTTGTTTGCTCGATCTACTTATTTATACATTGGATGGCACCCCAATCCTGACCCAGATCCATCCGATCATTGTCATCTTGATCGCCCATACATATTCTTCGCGATGCAGAGGGGCGACACCCGAATGGTACCTGATATGTCTCCGATGTCAGAGATCAAGTCTGTTTTCTGGCCCACTCAACCTCTAGACCTTGGAGATATCTCATGACTCCAACTATCAATGATTACCGCCCGAAGCGAGGTTCCATGCCAATCCATGATAGCCAAACTCTATGCTGTCGGGCAGCAGGCATAGACGGACACCGACCGAATATCGGGTACTGCCATACACTGGCATGTGTTCGTTGGGCACGCGACACCAAATCATGTCATCCGCCAAGTTTTACGGTACACACAGAGAGAGAAAGAGAGCAATCCGTGCAAGTATGTGAAGAGGTAAGTGGGGTAGGTAAGTATGGTGGCATGTTAGGCCAACTGCTCTACCTAATCGCTGCCCCGATCCTTGTTACTCAATCAGACAGGAGTTCTGTTCAACTGGGGACCTGCGACGTTTCTTTGTCTCAGAGGTCCGGTTTCCGATCGTCATACATCATGTCCAATCCTCCGGGCCAGACTCTGCCCGTCCGAGGGATTCTCTATCTATTTCCGTCGAGCTGCTTAGTTGAGCGCTCCAGTGGTTCGCGTCTTTCGGCTCTGCTGGGGGAGTACCTTTTCCGCTGTAGGCATGGACTGTTCTGTACCTAGCCGTGAGCGAGCAAACAAACGCGACAGGAGACGCCCTTTTGACGCGTCTTGTCAGATGATAAACCCCCTAGGACCATTTCCTTTTGACCCAACGGAACCCCTCGCCATATAATCTAATTGCCCCAGCACTGGGATGCATACAACAGCATCGGCTTTGCTTTGGCGTCTCTTTGACCGACTATTAACAGATGCGGCGGGATGCTGCCTTCTGACCTCCCATTCGCCCAATCCGAATTCAAAGCATCAGGTTCTTTCAGTGTTAGTTGATTAGTTGATTAGGGCACACAATTGTCCACTGCAAGGGTCATATCTCCTTCGCTCATCCTCCCACACCGACGAAGTCTCAATTCTGCATTGATTGTCGAGTAAGCCTCGGCCTAGCATCTATAACATCGAGTTCGACTGCTCAATTGCACCAACACTGCCAACTTGATGCAGCCGAAGAATCCGAGCTCGAGTCGAGTGGCTCTCAACGCAACGAGGAATAGGCAAGGGTTCACCACGGGGACGGACTCCAGCAGGACACGTGCGGTCAACGCCACTCACCGCTGAGGGTTGTGCACAATACATGAGAAACGAAAACCCCCGCAAAACACGATTTCTTGATGCAGAGCCCGCCCAATGGCACCGAAACCCAAGAAGAAAAAGATTGTCTGGGTCTGGATTTGCGTGTGTTCCCGGACTTGCCACTTCTCGTGGGTCACTTAGCAGGCTAACACCTCGCAGTGTCACTGCAACGCAGGTGGTATGACCTTACTTCAAGAAGCTTGTTATGCCTGTGGGATGCTTCGCTGTGCGTCCTGTGACGTCCACAAGCAAACCACAAGATAACACGACTCTCTTTACCGCATCCTACAGCCACGTGTGACACAATTGTCGACTGGTGATCATATCCGTCTTACGAGTGGGGTCTAAATTTGGAAAAGTCCTGGCGTTGAATCGTGAATTCTCTGAGGTTGGGGTGGAAAGACAAAAGTTTGATGTTACTGACAACCGGTATAGAATGGTTGCTTGCAATAGATGCCGGACCCCTAGATAAACTCTTATATCTCGTAATGATTAATTGTCTCGGAAAAGTGAACGGCACTCCATATGGCTTGGTATTCAGACCCTAATGTGGATGTAGTATTTGCTGAAGAATGGGCAAAAGTTTTACGAGCATGGATCCTCTTCGACTTAGTCCATCTATTTAGTCTAGATAGTCTCGAGAATGAACACAGAATAGTCCGCAAGCCCGTTCAGATTCGCTCAATAATGGCAATAGAGTATATAGATCATTGCAAATAGGACTTGAACCACTTCCTAGTGACCTCGTATGCCAAAAAATCCTATGGTAATCTTGGAGAATAGTGTAATAACGTAGCCAGTAATTGCTACAGAACGCTGAAACTCCCCTATCAGCAGTGATCTCAGAGAAAGGATAACTAAAGTTGTGTTGAAATATGATCAATCTTTTATCTCTGACAAGGAGCTCTTGTATCAAAGTAATCAAGTGCCTTGATAAGGTTACTGGGTGTTTTGCAACGAACCTGATTTCTGATTACAACCTCGCGGAGTCAAGTGAGTTGCTCATATCGACCATTGCCATTGTAGGAATTCGTCATGCCTCCACAACAATCAAAGCTGGTCTTTCGTCTTGCTCGAGTCTGCTTTGCAGTCAATTCAAATCAAGTTGAGAAACCCATCGTATCTTTCTTTGATTCATCTACAATGCTCGTTGAACTGAGTTGCTAGAATCTTTGAGAGCTACATGTCATGTGCAAAGACAACAGCATGGCTTGATTTATAAAGGAAAAAGAAGAAAAGCAAGCCATGGTCAATAAGGTCCTCATCAGTTCTGTTTTGGCTGATACAAGTCTAGCTCGTGAGGCAATGGGAGATGCTTCCTGTGATGGGATGAAAGCTAGCGCCAGCTGGAAGACTGACCCATTTAGGAAGTAGGTAAACAGGACTGCATCGCACCATGTCTAGCTTGAGCTTGCCTTAGAAAGCTGCGTCGGGAGATTATATCCCCTTTCCGACAACATCGCCTTCACCCTATCTACTGTACCCAGCCAATACTCCTCCGTAAATCTGCCTTGCGGTAATCTTCGTTGTTTGCGGATACCTCTGGTTTCCATCCACTCCTTGAAAAATTCAGTCATCAAATCCAGCCAGTCTGGTCACGACTGCTTCACTCCTTTGTTCACGTTCCTTACAAATTCAAAAATCAGTCACGGTTGACCACTCGTCGCCACCTGATCATCAGATCACTTTCGCCATCCGGCTTGCGACACTCGATGCCCCGACCTGCTATGATGAAGACCCCCAAGACCTCCATGGGTCTCAACCAGATCCTCAGCTTTGTCAACTTCTCTGCGGCACTGGTTGTCGCCGTCCTCTTCTTCCTCCCTCTGCGAAATATCAAGATCGGTATCAACAAGCCGGCTGCCAACCTCACCACTTTCGCACTCGATAGCGATGAGTCCTTCTCCACCATCCCGCCCTTCTACTTCAAGAACATGAGCGACTCATGTGTTGCCCTGTGGATTCAGGAGTTCCTTGTCCCTCTGGATCATCTGTGTCACAAGACAGTTGTGGATGCTAACAGCAGGAAGCTCCCCGAGGATCGGCTGGAGATGATTGGTAATAGGCTTGGACCACCTTGGATCGACCGCTAGGACTCCCTCGTTCCATTCTGTCCCGAGTCTAACCTCTTCTTCTCCGACAACCACCCCTTTCACAACTACAAGTGGTGCCTCATACAATGGGATGTCGATAGAATCCTACCCAAGCCTATATACAGGTAAGCATCGAGCAATTTGTGTCTACTCTCCGTCCACCCCAGTCATTTTTGATGGAAAAGCACATCGGCTAAAATATCTTTGTCACCGTAATAGTCCAAACGTTGGTGAAAGCTGTTGGCTGTGTGATCCAGCATGGATGCATGACTTCAAAGGATATATATACACCTTCCTGCAACATTCAAACTAACACCACTACACAAGGTAGTTAGGTCAGATGCTGAGACTTGACGATTCAAGATATTGCCTGGACTTGTGGCAGGGTCTGGGAAAGAATTGGCATCCAAATGATGGCAGTGGTTGGCCGGACGATTTGATCTTTACTATGGACTCAAACATTGCAGAATCTGTTGCACGGTGGTCATTGCTTGCGGGGTTCAATGAAGTATAACAGTAAGGCTCTCTAGCACAAGTGTCTATCCTTTCTTTCTAAGTTATTTAGCCGCACAAAAATAAGACAGATTCAACCACTCTAGTTTGCCTCAATCTGGGAGGGTTCATCGCTGTAGCTTGTGAAGCTATGCTCCGTACTACAGTTGACAGTCTGCTTGACTCCAGAGCACACATATGCAGCCGAATAAAGAAATGACGACACCTTGGTAACTGACACCTTGTGAATCTCAGTCTTCGTCCCAGCAGATGACCTACACGATTCATCTGTGTTCTTTTGTCGTCTCTGATGTACTGCATATTCTTCGTACATCGGTGCCTCTTCTAGATTACCAAGTCCCCGAAACTGTCAGATCACGAGAGCTGCTACCAACCATGAAAGTGTACTGTCCCGCGAGGAGAATCATCCAGTTCTGGTGACGTACGTCCCAGTAGCTGAGATCCCTCCTCGTCAAGTTGAACTCAACCGTCTTCGTCTCGCCAGGCTCCAGGTAGACCTTCTCAAAACCGCGAAGAACCTTTTCGGGAAAATCAATCCTGCTGCCACCTTGCGGATAAGCGATATATAACTGTGCCACAGTCTTGCCAGCCCTTTCACCGGTGTTCTTGACATCGACATGGACGCTGACATACGTCTGCCATAGGTCGGGGTTGCCGCCTTCGTCACCACCAGCTCCGGAGAGAGGTTGTACCACGTTATAACCGTCAGGATAGGGGTAAGGTTTAGTCACGATATCGTCGATGTTATCTAGGTAGGGGTAGATATACTTGTCGAGCGGGCGGATGTTGTTAGGCCAGAGAGCCTCCTTTTCGTCGGGGATAGCGCTGTCGTAGGTTGGTGGCTCAGCAGCCGGCTTGGGCCGTGAGGCAGGCAGGACAGTCTTGGCTTTGATTGGTGAGACTTTCAAGCCTGTGTACTCAAACGTGGTATAGCTCAATCCGAAGCCAAATTCAAAGCGTGGGTCGATCGCCTCCTTGTCGAAGTGGCGGTAGTCAATATACAGGCCTTCACTGAAGTCTTGTTGAGGTAAGACACCGTTTGGCAGGTACATGATCTTGCCTCCAGGGCCGTAGTCATCAAGAGACTTGCCTATTGTATAAGGTAGCTTTCCGGAAGGGTTCACGTCGCCAAAAAGCACATCTACCAAAGCGTTGCCACTCTCTTGGCCCGGAAGGTTTGCATATAAAACCGCCTTCACCCCCTCTAACTCTATCCACTTCTCCATGATGACTGGACCGACTGAATGGACAATGACAACGGTATCTCCACCACAGCCGGCGGCTACTTGCGCGATCAGCTCATCGCCTCCCTTTTGGAGCTGGAGATCAGGCCGATCTCCTCGTACAGAACCCCATCCAATGAAACCTTCTCCCGAGTCAGCATTTGCAAAGACAAGGCAAGTGTCTTGATCGGCAAGGTGGCTGGAGTTGGACCCCCTGGGAGCGGAGTTTGTCAGATATGCAGAGAACTCAACCTCGCTGTCATCAAAGCTGGCACGAAGTGCATCGACCGGAGTGACTAAGTACGGAAACTCAACAGCTCCACTACCCCAGCCGGACCCCAGGGTGCCCTGGTTGCAGCCCCGGTCCTTGCATGAGTTGGGGCCGTCTCCGGGACCGGCATCTTCTCCAAAGACAGCAACCTTGTATTTGCCTTCGTGTCGGCGTTTTCCATTAGCAATACCCTTTCGGTTCAGGGGAAGCACACCCTGATTCTTCAGCAAGACGATGCCCTCAGCAGCAACTTGTCGCGCGATGGCCGAATGATTTCCTTGCGCATTGACGTACTTGTTCACAACGACCTGTTCCTGTTCTGTCGGGCTACCAGGGGCCATAATTCCCTTGGGCTCGTCGGTCCACGACGAGAAGTTGGGTCCACTGTTGTCGAACTTTGCCGGATCGTCTTGCCCGAGCTGGTACCAAGCTGCAACAATACGAGTGACCATGTCGTTTAGCCGTTCGACTGGTACGGATCCGTTCAAGATCGACTTGGTCAACTCCTTCCCCCAAAGCGACTTGCCGTTCTGCCACCGCAAGCCATCTCCGGGCATGGTCATGTCCAAACCCGCGAGAGCGCTGGCAACGCCGGAGCGCTGGGCCAGCCAGTCACTCATGATAAAGCCCTGGAAGCCCATTTCGTCCTTGAGGATGCCATTGAGCAATTTGGAATTGGAGCAGGCGTAGCTGTTGTTGACCATGTTGTAGCTGCACATGACACTGGCAACGCCAGCCTTGATTGCGTCTGCAAAGGGCCAAGCGTAGATTTCGTGCAGTGTTCGGTCATCAATGTTGGAGCTGATGGCATGCGGCAGGGCCCACTCCCAAGGCTGACGGAAGTGCTCCTGCTCATTGGCGACGAAGTGCTTGATGGTGGCCATGACGCCCTCGCTCTGGATGCCCTTGACTGTCTCCGCGCCAGCAATGCCTTGCAGGTACGGATCCGCCCCAAATCCTTCCCAGTTCCGGCCGCCTGCGGGCATCCGCCCCAGTGGCCCAACACAGGGGCCTAAGAGGACGTGGATTCCCTTAGCCTTGGCCTCGGCGCCATGGGCCTTACCTCGCAGGTACATCAGCTCCTTATTCCAGGTGGCACCGACAGTGATGCCGGCAGGGAATGCGGAGACGTTGTCGGCGAAGCGAATACCCAGCGGGCCGTCCTGGAGCTGCAGCTGAGGGAAGCCAACGTGCACAGCAGGCCCGTTGGTGCCGACGGCAAGCCCCATCTCCCAGCCAGTGCCGGTGGTGACGTTCACCTTTTCCGGAAGGGTCATCTTGCTGACCATGTCTGCGGCCTTCTTGTAGCTCTCAGCCCACGAGGCGGCTGTCCCGCCCCTGGGGGCAGGATACCATGGCGGAGACTGGCCGTACGGAGGTTCTTCCTGATATTTCTTGTACACAAAGGCCCCGCCCGCCCCGAGAAGAAGCCATAGTATGCCAATGACAGCCAATGTGATGATGCAACAGCGTGAGCGCGTGCGGAAGGGTCGTCTGAGAGCAGCGAGGCGGCCTTGTCGTTGAGCGCGGAGGAAGGCGGGCTGCTGGTCGTTCTTGGAGGGATTGGCTAGCGGATCGGAGGTGAGGAACTCGGTGGCATCGATGTCGGATTCTGTGTCGGACGAGGCCCGTCGGCGGCCGTCGAGCGAGCTGCGGAAGCGGTTTTGGGGAGAGAGCAAGCCCTCCTTGCTTGGATCCATGGTGGGCTGGGCTGGGCTGGGCTGGGCTGGCAGATTTGATCGTTCTCTCTATTCTTTCGGGGTGGTTGAGGATGCAGGTAGCAAGCCCGCCACGGCCAGAGGATGGGAGGGAGCTCGTCAGGCTATTCATGAATTTACATCAGCAACAAGCCCAAGGTTCTCTTCTAGGTCTGTGTGCGTGCGTGCGTGCGTGCGTGGTTATCTTACCAGCCAGTACAGCCAGGTCAGCCAGTGCAGTCAGTACTCCGCAAGCTGAAGCTGGTGGGTATCACGAGTGTGTTTCGCAGGGTTTGGGCTCAGCGGCAGCACAACAGCAACAGCAGCAGTGGTAATGAGAATATTGTCGCCGTCCGTCGTCGCGAGGAAGCTGCTCAGCCAGGAATCGGTCCAGCGAGGAGTCCAAGAGCAGGTCATGCGATGGGGGGGCGTTCTATTGGCAGTCTACCGATGTCTATAGGTATGTTGATTCCTGCAATTCAATGCAATGTATTGTGATGGTATACAATTTGATATTTTGCCGTCAAGGAAGAGGGACTTTCGGGAAAGATCCAGCAAGCAAGCAAGCAAAATGAAACAAGTCAAGTAGAAACAGTCTGGTAGGCTAGGATAGGTAGGTAGGCAGGTAAGAATCAGTAGGGAGATAGATGGTGATCGATCGTAGCCGATGGGTGGTGGTGGGTGGGTGGAGGCAGAATTCAAGCAAGGCTTAGGTACAGTACGTAGGTACCTAGGTAGGTATGATGCATTCTAGTGGACCTCAGGCGTACCGTACGGTACCTACCCTTGCCCAGGTGCTACCGTCCTGCACCGCACACCTGGCACAGGGTGGGTTGGTCCACCCTGTAGCGGCAATGCTCCCTATTTGTCGTTGAGTTCCTAGCGCGTGGGGTGCTACGGCAGTGTTGACCGCCCTCCAGGGCTGTTCTCGACCGGACCCGACTGGCTGGTTGGTTGGAGGTTGGTCACTGCTACCCGACAGTATAGTGCTATTGTAGCTACCGGCACAGTCCTGAGGGGAGGGGAGGGGAGGAGCAAGTGGGAGTGGGAGTGGGTTGAATCAGGAAATCTCCAGTCTCGTATCGGATGCCTTCCATCTTTGATGGATACCTTACCCTATTGCTTGTTCTCTCCCTAGAGTATAGAATGTAACTTACCTAGGTAGTTGAGAAGAGAATATGCCTACACCGTCTTACCTCAATTGCTTGGGCAGGCACCAGGTCTGGCTGTAGATATTGTACAACCACAACCGACACTGCACAAACCCGAGTGATTCAGTATACCTACATTACCCCATTGCATTGGGTGTCTCGTAGCATATTTCATCTCATCTCATTCGACCATGACCAGACCGACAACGGCTCCGAACACCGATGTCGCCGTGGGCTGCGAGCAGAGGCAGCTCTGGGTGTGTGTTCCGGTAATAAAGCGTGCTACCGGGGGTTCCCTTGAGGTGCCTTGCAATACTGTACCAAGTGACAATGCTCACCTCGCACCTCGTTCTCCACAAAGAGCACCCAGCATCGTTGGTGTGAGGCTGTGATCACGCATATTAAGCACTAGCAGTCAAGATCATGCTGTAAATTTGGTCATTTCTACACTCCTGATCGATGTATTCCTGTATCGTGGCCCCTCATAGCGGCCCGGACTATCTTGCCGGACCAATGCATGTATGCAGTAGACTCAACGACCACATACCGGTACGTCTAAAACTCACGACCTCAACCCAGTACCGACTTCAAGGCATTGGCCACGACCTCCTGGAGATTCTGTCTTGGTAGACCAAGTTCTTCATTCAGGATCTCCCCGCTCTTTTCAAGGTGGCCTCCATAGCGCCCAGTCACGAATCCGGTCTCGATCAGCGCCTATGTAGCGTACCGATCCCCCGCCTCGAACGCGGCCTGCTTTTCTTCAATCAGTTTATAGCTGTCCAGCTTCTCCACAGAGAACTTCTCGCCTGTTTGCCGTTCGATTTCCGCCAGAAGCTGTCGCTGGGTGATGGCAAAGTCGCTCAAGAACAGGTTCTTGTTCTTGGTCTCCTCGGGATACCTTGAGAGCGCATTCACGACAGCCAGGGCGGTATTCTCCTCTGTCGTGCAGCTAAAATACCCTTCTCCTTCGTCCCACAGAACGAACCTCTTCTCCCGAACGTGCATGCCCAGAAAGTCGTGCTCCATGCTCCATTTGATCCACATGCCGCAGCTCACGCTCATCCACTCAATGACATCGGTCTTGGACCGTAGATATTCCTGTACCTTGCCCTTGTCCCGGAAGACCATGTTCAGGGCTTGCGCTTCCGGCTTCAGGTTGTCTAGCCCGTACTCGGAGGGCACATACCTTCGAACCCCTGCTTCGATTGCTGCGTCGATGAACCTGTACTGCTCACTCACGTCCAGCGAGGTAATACAGTTGATGATGACGTCCTGTCCTTTGAAGGCAGCTTTCAGTTCCTCTTCCGGGTAAGAATCCGTAACCGTGATCAGATGCACTGTTCGGTGTATCTTTGCTTTGGATGAAGCGCGTTGTAGAATAGAGACAGTGAAGCATGACTCTTTCAAAAGTGCCTCCAAAACAACACTCCCAATGGACCCTCCCGCTCCAATAAGCAGGATATTCTTGAAACCAGCCATGTGCCTACTTGTTGACAGGAGAGCTTCAATGAGATGCGATGTACGAGATCTATGCTCGATTGAACAATTATGTATGTTGAGTCCTTTGAATAAGCCTTTGAATTCCAAAACTGGTGAGAAGGCCCATGGTTTATATGTTATTTGACAACCTTACACTTGGTCATGAATCCTGCTTTCTCACCGTAAATTTAGACTAAGCCCATTCCGAGCACACTGAAAGAAATGCAGCCACGGACAAAAGCCGCTAGTAAAAATGTCTAACCAGCGGAAAAATGACAGTATTGAACTGTAGTGAGGCTCGAACAACTGATCAAATAACTCATTTGGGAATATAGTCGTTGGCGGTTTGTCAGCAAGAAGCTAAATCTCATGCAGATTCAAAGGCTACCGGGTGCTTACTTTAGTGGCGTGAGGTGGTCACTAGAATGAGAGTTGGCGTTAAGCTTGGCTTTGAATGGAGCCTTGATGATGAGTAATCTTTTGGGTGCGTGAAGAACCCGAACCTATACCAAGACAGGAGCACGAGTAAACATTAGATGACATGAGACGAAATGGGTCTGATTGATCATCAACGTCCCATTGATTGTCGGCGACTTCTTGTCAAATTAGGCTTGGATAAGGTGGACCTGGTACGCCGTTACCCATTACAACAGAGTGCAATGTCAAAGCAAAAACACCTTCATATTACCAGTCCGTGAGGTGAAAAGTCAAAGAAGGAAGCGGATTAAGAAGGCTTTATGGCGTTTAAGAGTGTCTGCGAATGTTCACAAGGTAGCCATATATAAGGCATGGGAAATAGTGCTGATGGATCGACACCATTCTTTCATCATCTTACATTTGCAAAATAGCTTAAACACTCAAGCAAACTGCACTTCTACTAAAAATTCGCGGTTGTTTGAAGTTACATGGCAAATGGAAGAACGTCCACCGGTTGTCACTAAGCTCTGGCTAATAGGCTTTGATTGTCTTGATTCCTAGAGTGGCTTCTCTATAATTGGGGACTCTCAGAGGTAATTCTGTTTGACGTACTACCTACTACTGGACAAGATAGTTTTCTGCTGTCAATGATGTGAAATAACAAAAGGTCATCATGAGTCTCTTGCCGCCGGGTTTCAGGTACATTGCTGCACAGTCCCTTGATACATAAAAGGCATCGTAATCTTCGTATCGGCAAGTTGGCTGGATAGTATGTAGCTTGAACTGTTGACTTACGTAGTAGCAATACGCGGCTCATGATGGGACTGGTACGGTTATGGTGCAATGATCCAAGGAGTTCAAAATTTCATGACAATTGTCCGACATCTTACGCGCAACACTATGGACCATTCTCTTTAGAGTGATAATGATGCACTTCATAGCTCTCAAGGGATGATGATCTTAATTCTTGGTGACCTATGTCTGCTGTGATCGTATTGGGAAGTGATCGGAGAAAGGTGAATTTCTCAAAGTCAGGTGTCAACTTGTGTGGGAAGTAGGTCTTGTTATATTGCCGGCCCAAGCCCCGCGCAATCATGCGGAACCAGGGAACCTCAACAGGGAACTTCCTGATACCGCCTAGCGGGGCACATCCTCTGCACCTCTCTTTGCCGCCAAGCCGTGCATTATCATCTTGACTTGCAGACAATACCGCGTAATCATTTGCCTGATTCCTACAACTATAAGAGCTCAGTCCAGCCCCCAAAAACACATCGTCCTGATCAGGCTGCGCGTCACCATATCTGCGCCCCATCTCAGCCGGCTTGAATTTTTTATTGCGATCTTTAGGAGGAGGCACGGTCCCTGCCAAAATGCCGACCCTAAGGGACATTCTGACATCTGCTTTGACATTGGTACCCCTCGTGAGTGCTCGACTTGAGCCTGAAGATTTTCCATGGGAGAAAGTCAAGCCGACCTCTGATCTGCGCTTTCACGATTGTTTTGATGGCTTCAAGTGTGCAAGGCTTGAAGTGCCATTGGATTGGTTAGACGTGGACAACAACAGAACTATAGCACTCGCCATCACGAAGTTGCCTGCCAAGGTAGCGGAGGACGACCCGAGCTTCGGTGGTACGATATTGAGTAATCCTGGCGGTCCCGGCGGCTCGGGCGTCGGATTCATCCGTAAATATGGTCGGCACCTTCAGTCAGTCGTTGATAGAGAGAAGCATTGGGAGATACTATCGTGGGATCCTCGAGGCGTGGGCGCAACCACGCCAAGGGTTGACTGCTTTGGCACTGTCCTGGCAAGGGATAGGTACTTCGTTGAGAAGCACGGCATTGGCGCCATAACCGCGGCCGAAGACGTTCTACAGCGTCAATTCGCAGTGACGGACGCCTGGAGCAGCCTATGTCAGAACGCTGATCAGGAAATCGATATCTTGCCCTACATTACAACTCCGTCAGTTGCAAGAGATATGGTGGAAATGGTCGATCGTATCCATGACCTCAGAACCGAAGAACTTGCAAGAAAGGCCGCGAGCGAAGGCGCCAAGCAGGTTCCGCTCATGGCAGAGATAAGCGGCTCTGGACCCCCTCGCTTGAACTATATGGGATTCAGCTACGGAACGGTTCTTGGAAACTACTTCGCCTCTATGTTCCCGGGCCGGGTTGGGCGCGTCCTTGTGGATGGTGTCGACGACTCTTACGATTATTCTTCGGCTAAGTGGCTTTGCAATCTGGGTGACACCGAAAAGGTTGTTGATTTCTTCTACGAGACTTGCTTTGAGTCAGGTGAAAGATGTCCTCTCTGGAGTCAAGAAGACGAGGGCCCTACAGATATCAAGACGCGCATCGATAAGTTTATTTCCGATACGGACGCCAAACCTGTACCGTACATTGATGGCTCGGACGTGTTTGCGATTACCGGAAATGATATACGCCTGTCCTTCCGAAATGCGCTGTACTCGCCTATCGATGGATTTGAGCCGCATGCACAGCACCTTGCAGAAGCTTTGAAGGGCAACTTTACGGGCGTCGTTAGCTCTATTGCCGTTCCCCGCTTACAAGATGCATGCAGTGTTGATGACTCGATCTTTGAGCAGGGCATGGACATCACAGCAGCCATTGCCTGCAGTGACGCAGAGGATCAGACGGACCACCTGTACGACTCTTCTTTCTTTGCAGACTATGTCACCGAGCTTCATAACCAGTCCAGCACATTTGGATCAATGTGGGCGCAGATACGGCTTGCCTGCTCTGCATGGCGAAGTCGAGGAAAGTGGCGGTTCTCCGGGCCTTTCAAGACGCCGCCTGCAGATCCATCTCTTAAAGAAGGCGTTCCGGCAGCTCCGCTCCTGTTTATATCCAACAGATTAGATACTGTGACTCCTCTTGCCAATGCGTATCTCATGTCCGAAGGACATCCGGGATCTGCGGTCGTCATACAGGAAGCAGCTGGCCATTGTGCTCTTGCAAAAGACTGGAGCCCCTGCTTAAACGACATTGTCAGCGACTACTTCGAGTTTGGAAAAGTACCTGAGACTGGCACAGTGTGTGAGACCGATGCAGGTTGCAGGCCTTGGAGTAAAGAGCCGTGCGGCATCGACATCAGTGCCCTGGGCAGTAACAACAATCGTCTAGACCACCGGAGAAACCCATTCAGACCTCTCGAGTTCTAAACAATCAACACTGCAAGCTGTTTGCGAAGCTATTTCGATTTGCTATTGATGTAGTCTAGAGCGTTCTATACTCGGGAAAAAACCAATTGATGATACTTGGCTTCTATTTCAATAGTGATGCCAGACGGAACACTGTCACTGCTATAACTTCTAAATTCTTCGTGGTCCATATTATTCGGTATGACAAACAAGCTTGGATGGTGTGATGTCCTAATCCTGTTAATGGCTTCTCGAAAGATGATAGGCTGGGCACCTAATCAGAGGTGAAGGCGTTTGTTATGGAAACCCCGCTCATCACTGCAATAGCGTCATTCAATGCCCGACAAAGCTTCCATCCATCCAGCAAGATTCTAGAAAAACATACGTCGGTCGGAGGTCATCGCAAACCATCCTTGCAGCCACTTGTGACCGTATATCATCGTTGTGTGAAATTGTACACTTGGCCCTCAAGTCCAATCAGGCACGGATTACAATGGCCGCATCCGAGAAGATCAGGTGAGTGTCTTAGCTACCGAATAAGTCAAAGTAGTCTCACCTCCCACGATATGTGCAGGTCTTCCGACCTCGCCCAGAAGTTGGCGCGTGATGGGCCGGCGAAACAAGAGCCATGTAAAAGGAGGGTTCGAGGCTTGTTAGGAAACAAATGGGTTTTTGACACTCTAGATGCGGAGTACGTGTGGGAGCATCCATACTGTCAGTCACATCTTCCGGGAGCGAGGTTGTCGTAGTGTAGTATGCAGTGCTTACATGCTACATCTAAAGATCCGCTGTTTTACATTCCTTTGGAGTCCTTGCAGGCAGGCCCTGCAGATATCATGAAAGAAGAGAGCCATGAGACTGGATTCTGGACCGGGACATTGAAAAGCAAAGACAAATCGGTGGAAGTCGTGGGGTATGACAAAGGCCCTCTCGAAGGTCTTGTCAAAATCGCTCCAAATGACATCGGTATGTATGATGATGATGATGAGATCTGAGCATCCCAACGCCCTGGATCGTTGACCGAGTGAGTGCTAACGTTTGGGTCCAGACTTCTTTGCCGAGAATGAGAAGGTGCTTGGCCCTCACCCAAAGGATCCTTACAAACGAATCGAGTGCCTGCATTCGGAAAGGGAGATCCGGATCGAGTTAAAGGGGACGGTGATAGCTCAGAGTACAAGCAGCGTTTTCCTGTTCGAAACGATGCTGCGTACTCGGTATTACCTCCCTCGAACCGCCATCGCGGACTGGTGCACTCTTGTGCCGAGCGAAAGCTCAACGTTCTGTCCGTACAAGGGGCAAGCCAGCTACTACCACCTGAGAGTTGGGGATGACGAAATCCAGGACGCTGTCTGGTATTACACATATCCCACACAAGAGAGCGCGGCCATCCAAGACCGGTTGTGTTTCTACAACGAGAAAGTCGACGTCTTTGTTGATGGCGTCAAGGAGACTTAGTGAACGGGGGCATCTAGCAGGTATGTGCCTCTGATGGAATAGGGGCCAGAGAATAGCATTATATCTGTCAAGTAGTTGCTATGGTAATGGCAGCAAAGTTGATGGATTCCAACTTCGTGATAAAAGAAAAAAGCGCCAGTCTTTGTTACTCCAGTAATGAGTACTTAGTGGAGGTGGAGGTGGAAGTGGGAGTGGGAGTGGGAGTGGAAGTTAGCAGGTTATTGTAGATGTTTAACTCTTCTGGACTCATTGGATGGCAAGCATACGTAGATATCGTAAGTACTTACTTTACCTGAACAGTGAATTGGATTTCCATGGAAGGAAGGTTGGCGCTAGATGGAGCTTATCGCGCGCGGAACGGAGATAGCGTGAGGCAGGAGGCCAGATAGCTTCCGCCCGCTAATGTTAGCTTACTGTAAGTGCACCTACAGTACATGCCTTAGGCAGGTTCCGGGAGGTCCAGCCCTGTAAGGTCCAGTCAGTCGTACGGAGGAATGGCTCCCTGCTACCCCACTGAGTGAGGTGAGGTGAGGTCACTGGTATTGCCCTGTCCCCTGTCCATGACGATGCAAGTCAAGGTTAAGAGGAGGGGGGAGAGAGGGGGGCGACAGGCCTGGAAAACTCTGCCCCCAGGTAACGTTAGTGATGCATACATACACACACTCGACACAGTACCTACCTAAGTACTCTTAGGTAGTAGCCTGCATTCAAGTCGATCCCCTCGGCTCCGAACGGCGATTGGGATCTGTCTGGATCTGAAGCTGGCTTGATTGATTGATTGATTGATTGATGATAGTGATTCTCTCTTTGTCTGTCTTTTTCACTCCTGCTCTTCACCTGAGTCTAGATGCCTTGTCAACTCATTCTAAATCCACCTAGGAAATCCTATTCGATCCAATCCAACCCAACTCAGGCCCGTTCACCTACCGTTATAGGGAAGTTCATACAGCTACCTAGGTAACTACCTGGTAGGCTAGAGGTCCGAGGTACCTACCTCACCTGCCTTGCCCTACCTTACCTTACCTGCCTCTCGACTGCCCCGCATCCCCTCGCGCTCTCACCTTTGTATCCTGGATCCTGGGTCCCGGATCCAGGTCACCACCAGAAAGCCCACCTCGTGATACCCGTCTTAGCACTGTTGCAGTACAGCGATACATTGGCCTCGACATTATCCACCCCAAACGGGAAGACAGACCTCGTGGCAGTATGTTCTGAGGAGGGTGGGAACCTGCCTAGGTACCTAAGGTACCCAATCTGAGGGTAGGACTGACCTGTCGCTACGTTCGTAGCGGGGGAAGCTAGGGAGAGTGCATTTTGCATTGCATGGCATCACCAGGTAGCTAAGCCAACAACTCCCAACCTACCTACCAACCAGCCACCAACTACCTACCACGACCACGACCACGATCACGACCACGACCACGGCCATTGGACCTCAACTCTTTGCGCCGCCCGAGTCACAGATTCGACCTCGCAGAAGTCCTCGAAACGAAGCTTCCTGGCCCAAGATAGGGATAAGGGAACGCTTGTTGTTGAAGTAGAGAAGGCACCGAGCCTTGGGGCCAGGCGCAGACATAGACATAGACGAAGACGAAGACGCAGACGAGGACAAGCTGCAGTAGAGCGCATTCGCATTGGATCGACGACTCGTGCAACAAGCCCCCGGGAGTCTTGCGTACCTACCTGGGCATACCTACGGTATCTCCTCGCCTACGACCTACCTTGACCTTATCTGCACACCGAAGCGAGATACGGGGCAACACCTCTTGAGCCTCCTCGCCGACGCTCACCATGGTGCATCCCGCGACGATTGCCCCTGCCGCCGCAGCAGCTCGCGCCATGCCGCCGCGGGCTCGCCTACGCTCCTCCGGCTCCTTCCACGCCGGCGCCCCGATCCCCTCATTGTCGCCCTATGACATGGGCGAGACGAATACCTCAGGCACTCCAAGACGTTCGAGCGTAGCGGCCGGACGCCGCTCATCCTCACATCGATACCACACATTCCCCACGCCGCCCCCGAAGACTCCCAACGGCATCTCCGACCCCTCATTCGCTCAACAATCGTCTCCTGCGAACTCTGATGGCGATGACGACGCGTCTCTCTCGGACTCGGAAGATGACCACGCGGGCCAAAGAGGCGAGGCAACACCACTGCCGATAAAGCAGCTCGGTTTGCTGGCCCTCCTCAGCCTGTGCGAACAGACTGCCCTCAATTCCATTGGCCCCTATCTGCCCGCCATGGTCGCATCGTTCGACGAGATCCCTCCGACGCAGGCCGGTCTATACGTCGGTCTGCTCGCCTCCGCGTTCGCCCTTGCCCAGCTGGCAACCAATCTGCTCTGGGGTTACCTCTCCGACACTATCGGGCGGAAACCAGTCATGCTCCTCGGCACCTCCCTGCTGATGGTATGCTTCGCCTTCTTTGGCTTCTGTACCACGTATTGGCAGCTCCTGCTTGTCCATATCGGCATGGGGCTTCTGAACGGCAACGCAGCTGTGGTGCCGACCGTTCTTGGCGAAGTCACGGACCGGACTAACCAGAGCCGCGCTTTCACCTGGCTACCCGTCATGTACTCCATTGGCGGCATTACCGGGCCCGCGCTTGGTGGCCTCCTCGTTGGTAATGAGGATAGAGCATATCCCTTCCTCGCACCCAATATCATGTCTGCCGCTCTTCTGCTGGCTGCAGTCGTTGTTTTGGGGATTTGGTTTGACGAGACGCTTGAGGGCATCGACACGGCATCAGGGGGGGTTTCGGCCTGGGGACGTAAGGTCTTGGGTTTCTTGCACATGAGCCGTAGAAACCAGGGGCGGAAAGGGTCGTGGAGCTCAAGATGGCCGACACGTTCTTCCAGTGTCGCCGGAGAGGAAGCGGAGGACGACGATGCCGAGAGAGATGGTGTCAGCCAGGAGAACCAGCCGTTGCTGCACCAAGAAGATACGGGAAGTGAGGCACAAGTCGATGGCTCAGGGGACAACAAATCGATGCAGCAGAAATCCGCATTCCGCCAGCTCGCCAATCGGACCACGCTTACAATATTGATGACCTATCTCATTTTCCAGCTTGCCAACATCTCGTTTAATAGCCTTTACCCAATATTTGCCTCTGCTCCACCGCCTGCCGGGCGAGATCTTGGACCTAGCACTATCGGTGTGAGCCTTAGCTTCGCCGGTCTGCTCACGATTTTGTTCCAGGTTTTTCTCTTCGAGCCTCTTAAAAGCCGGGTCGGCAATCTCGGCACATTTCGAATCTCACTTCTTGGGCTTTGTATCAGCATGGCTCTCATGCCGTGGATTGGACACAGTGATAGCCGGCCTTTGTTCGGGGTGGGGAGCGGGAGGCTCTGGCTTTACATTGAACTCGGAGTTGTGCTGGTTGTAAAGAACTTATCTGCCGTGGGAGGGCTCAGCTGTGTACTGCTGTTGGTAAGTCCGAGACTCGGATTGACTCTGTTTTTCACTTACAGAGATCTTGTTCCTGAGGAGCAAGCTAATTTACTCGCAGATTACAAACTCCGCGCCATCTCATGAAACTCTCGGAACACTGAACGGAATCGCCCAAACGCTTTCCGCCGCAGGACGAAGCGTCGGCCCATTCTTGTCTGGTGGACTGTTTACATTGTCTGAGCGAATTCAACCAAAGGGGGAGCTCCTGGCCTGGGGACTGTTCGGGGGGATTGCGCTAATAGGCTGGCTGGGGACGATGGCCATTAGAGGTGATAAACTCGAGAGCGGTGACTTTATTAGAGACCGCCAAGAGGAAGACACGGAAGAGGATAATGCGCTCCAAATATGATACTAAGTCATACATGTATATCATAGTATATTAAACATTTGGTTCAGTTCAAGGGAAATTCATCATTGTATCTCAGAGAAGATACATCGAAACCATTGGTAATCGCATCAAAGACTCGCGCGCGAAGCTTATAACATCAGGGCGTGGCACAATATGCTAATCCGTCATGCAAACGTTCGTGTGTTCCCTCGGTTGGATGTAGACGACGCCATAGACTGCATAACTTATAATCACAATGGACTCATTCCATAAATAGAGTCAGCACCACATGAACTACTGTCGATAGCAAGCGACGTAATTCGAAGGAGTGGAGACACAAACTTATCGCAATCTAGAGCATTGAACGCTTTCGGCTTACGGGTGGTTCGAGAAGCCCGCAACTTCTCTAAAATCCCGTCTCTCTACTTCAAAACCGGCCTATACACCGCCCCGCAGATCAATAACGTAAATTCAGCGGTCTATCTATAGAAAGTGTTGGGCAGGCTGAGCAGGTTCAGCGACCCATTCATCCTACCGACACGCTCCGGGATAACCCCCACGATGCGACCGAGTGGCGTCTGAGATACACATATGATCAGTGACCTGAGGAGTCATGCTGCTATACTCTAGACTCCTCTAAAGCTCTCCTAGGAACTGATCACTGACATTAGAACCAAACATAGGCCCAGGCAGGTGCGAATTTCCTCCTCCATGAGGTGAGATAGTTGCAAACACACTCCGAATAAAGAGCTTGTGAAGATGACAGAGTTAGGTGTAGATGCTCGGGATTGCTGACCACTCAGGTTCTAGGTCCTTGCAAGAAGTAGATACAATGCCCCATCTGCTTTAGTTTGAATCAGAAGCAAAGCTTTGCAAGTTGCTCAAATTACAGCGCAACCTGTACAGAGTTTACTTCGCCGTCTTGACCATCATGTCGGCGATGAGGGCACCTCTCTACCACTCCTAGACTTCGCGACGGCGATTGCGATTGAGAACATGATATTGAGATGCTATAAAGTCCTAAATCCATCTCAAACGAAATGTCATTGCTGTCAAGAGCGACGGTTCTTGTCACGTTTACCACCGTAGACATGCTTGTGGTAGGTCAAATGTTATGATATTTCAAAGGATCGACTGAAGAAGAACCTAGCTTCGGCCACGTAGCATAATTTGCGGCCATGTAACATTTTGGTGTCTAATATCTGTTCACTAACTGTTAAATGATATGAAAGACTCGTGGGGCTGGTCTGCCATGCTATGCTAAGATGACCTCATCTTCCTCTGCGGCTGAGACTCTAGCCCCCAAGGTAAGAACCTAAAATTTTCAGCTGTGAGGTTCTCCTAAAAAAGGTCGGAGGCCCAGTGTTCATATTCCGCATAGAGCAATGACAAGGATCTACAAGGAACGCATCCATAGTCACCTTTCAAGACCAACTTGCTTACCAAAATGACATGCTTGTCGTTCGCCGCTTGAGCCACATTCTCCTGTTAGCCACAGTGTGACAGCTGTCGTGGGCAAGGCGTTTTCGGGCTTATTAGCCACAATCATCTCAGCAGGGCAACATGAGGTAAGCTAAGAGGCATCCGCTTGATAATAGCCCGGCCCACCGAACCAACAATGTTCGACAGGGTTTCGAGATGATTTTCGCATGCCGTATTTGGCCAAAGGTCCATTGTATGGAAGGCGGCAGATCAGGCCAGCCGTGAGTCCCCGCCCTTAGGTGGCCGACTGCATCCACCCGATGGAGAGATGTCCCGGGGGGGCTAGAGGCAAGAGGCGGCCGAGACGGGCAAGAGGTCCTTGATGTTAGTGATCGGTGGCGGTTGCGTCATCTATTGATTGCTGGTCAGCGTTGGATTGGGAGAACACTAAGGAAGATTAGAAGCGGCACAGGCATTACAAAGACATTGTCGCCTGGGCTGGACATGCCTCCCGTCAAGAATTGTAAGTTCTTGAAGAAAGATGAAACGATATGCCATTTACTGGCTCTTATTCCGAGCAATCAGATTAAGGTTTGCGACAATTTGGAGCCTCAAGGTGCCTTGACACATACATCCGCAGTCGCGGCCGCTTCTGGGAAGATTGACAGCCAATGCCTTGCTGCATTGTTGCATCATGCAGTTGTTGGGCACCGCACTCTGCATGCTGATTCATTGCCTGGGGAAATCAGCACTGCGTCTAGAATGCCGACCCTTGCTCTTCTCGATGCAAGGTGGATTCGGCGATCGTTCTGGCACAACCCCACTAACTATTCCTCACCACCAATTTACGTGAAGGGGTTGACTTCAAATGCAGGCATTCGCATTCCGAGTCTAGTCCGGCCTCTTGGCTGTACACAAATAACGGATCCATTGCTCTTGGAGGAATTCGCGTGGCCGTGAGCTCTGTTACTCTAACCTAACTTGACAGCTAGGACTGTCTAGTGTAGTGACCGCCTCCACTTGAATTCGACAGTTAATGTACGTACATTTGAAACTGGTCGTTCGCTAGCTTTGATCAATCAGGTGTCTCCAAACATTGAGATGGATTACAATCTTGTGAGGACTTGGAAACCTCTCCGTCGCTAAAATCTCACTTCAACTCAAGTGGGCGGCCACCCCGGTACTTTGCCGCTGTTAGTCACTGCACAGTTGCGCAAAGGATAAGCCCCCCATGATAAGGTCGAACTCCTGTTCCTGATCTTGTCTTGCCTTGCCTTGCCTTGCCTTCCCCGAACTCAGGTACATGCGCCCGACAACCCCTGCAGCCCTATTGACTAAGTAGTACCGCTCTAATGGTCGATGTTGCGGCATCATGTATTATCCAGGTTTGGGGTTATTCCGTAAACTGACTACAGCCCGCTTGTTTCCCAAAATAATGCCTGATGCCGTCAGCTAGCGGAGTCAAAAGTCTCCCCAAGTCCCAGATTGAACCAATGGAACCACGGCAACCACACCTTTTGTTTCCAGAGACACCATTGCGGACTCTGGCCCCCTCGTCATCTCAATGTCTAACTCTCGCGGTCTAGGAAGACGCTTGCAATGGTTCCTCGACCTGGCCACTGTCCCATCAGGATATAGTGTCAGCTACCTAATCTTGGCTCCTGCGAACCCGCCACGGCTTGAGACCCTATCTCATTTGGCGCGTGATACACAATTTGCCAGTCAGCTTGCGCCACACAAGTTGCAAAATGTTTGTCTTTGCCTCAGTGTTCTGTTTGTGCCGTTAGCATGCTTCAATCCCTCACCGATCATCACAAGTACCCCTTAACCCAATGTGGGCCGAGGCAGCTAGAGGTTCCAGATCTATCATGTAGTTCCCATAGGTTCTCAGCCGCTTGCTCTGTCAGCACAGGTGATTCTTGACAGCCGGTTACTCTGTGCCCTGATACTAAACTCTCCGGGATTGTTACTCCTACATCTGATGAAATCATACCTTGGACCTCGAGCTCAGGAAGGCACATGCTCATTTCATGTGAGCCTTCGAGGAGCATGTCATGTATGTCACCGTCTCTTACACTAATGGATCAGCTCTAACGTTAGCTGTGGGGGTTCCCGGACTCCAGCGGTTGTCACATCTACTTAGCTAACTCCACATCCACAGGCGATGGACTACAGCTGTTAAATACTTCCGCCGCCAAATCACTGACCGATTATATTCAAAGAATAGGCCTCAACAGCAGGCTACCGGCGGCCTGCCTGTGGTGGGGGCCAGGACCTTGGACAAAACGTTTTGGCAGCACAATATAAATGAGCAATCTTATCAAAGGTTACGAGCATTGGTGTTGTAAAGGTGTCAGGTCCCTGTAACAACCGACGAGCTCTCGTTCACCAAGCAATACATGGCAGTTCTCTGCTATCTCTGGTCTTGAAAATTAAATATCGCTACCTCCTTGGGAGGAGAATAAGCATTTTCGATAGTTTACCTATCCTTTGAGAGCAGACCTGACCTCAACACTCTGAACTGTATAAGATCTCTCATTACATCCGGCTCAAACTCGATCGGATTACCCGTACCAAACGTTATCACCCATCATCCTATACCTCGGACAAAATGTCATCCTCTCGATCGAGCCGTTCTGGTGGATCTAGTGACCGCAATAAAAGAGGCCGTGCTGCTCAGGTAGATACAAACCCTTTGCAAATGTGCCCCTTTCTTCCATCCACCTCCTCTTGACAGTCCAAGGATCCCTACCGTGACCCTTTATCACATCATTCCATTCACATATCATAGAATGTAGAGCTGTATGTACTGACAACAATTCTTAGAGATCTGTGCGTCAGCTCATCGAATCATTACAGACTCACCGAGTGAATACGTTAACAGAGTTATGTCGCATTGAGCGGATAGCTGCGACATGCGATAATGAAGAAGATGCAATCGCGTTTCAAGCCCCTATGACTTCGGCTTGGGAGTTCTATGTCTCCAGCAATCAGTTTCTGTCAGAACTCCGGGGATTGACACGAAATTATCCGTTCTGTGGCGATATACTCACTGATGCACAAGTCCGCGTGCGAAGCGACCCTGAAAGCAACCGGAGCTGGAATCTTGCATGGCTCTGCCTGCAGAAAATACAAAATGAGTCAGTCTATTCTTTTAAGTATTCTTATCGTGATGATCTAGTCTCATGATATTTTGGTTTTTTATTTAAAATCCTAACAAAGACAGTAACCTCATCTCCACTTATGCTATTTCCGAAGCTGCAAAGCCGGAGATGTGGGGAGGACGGAGCCCCGAGCCAGAAGAGGCTGATCAATTGGCACAGTGTTTCGAATATGAGTGGAGTGCAGCTGTCAATACAATGTTACGACATTGGAGCATCGAGCCAACCTGGTATTGAGCAGATTGGACGTACCACGGTGTTAGCCGTCAATATCATGTAGTCAGTCAGAAATCCTTTGCGCTGGAATTTGCAAGCGAATGTCACACTGCCAAACCATTTCAGGACTATGAGACAAACCCATGCTTACGACTTTCATTTATATCATGGACATGGCTATGAGGACTGGGTTCGATGGGATACACAGCCAACATATTGTTTATGTTGATCATGTCGAGGTACATTGATAGAGTTTCATTTCTCACACTACAATAGTTCTTCGTTGACACGCAATGGTTGCAATTGCATTGAGATTATCCGTTGTGGTTGCTGTTGCTATATTCTTTCTGGCCTACATAAATTTCAAAGTGTAGTTGTTTCTGGTACAATGACATTCAATATTTTTTCCCCAGGATCGTCATCAAGTAATGCAATCCACATGTACGTCTTTAAGACGTCTCGCATGTCTTTCCAACTTCTAATTTGACATATGTTGACATACTTTCTGAGTTCTTCTATCAGCCATTGCTCGTCTGATATATTGAACAATGACATAGCTCCCGTCATCAGCAACCAAAGCATGAGTACAGGGGAAACCCTATGGTTTGTTTGAGATCCCAGAAGGCACTTCTTGTACATTGAAGGAAATCGCCGAAAAAGCGGTCGAGTGTCTTGCCATTGTAGAAAAGCGTGATATGAGAAGGCTAATAGCCCCTGCCTCACGGTTTCATTGAAAGATCCGCCGGCAAAGTCCATTTCGAGCAGGCGATAGATCACTGCAATCATCGTTTCATAGATAAGCTCTGGACGTATCAGTCGCTCGGTTTGTGTCGCTAGATTGACAAGCGAACAGAAGTTTGTCATAACAAGCCAAACTTCTGCTAACCCATCGTCTGTGTCCTCGATCCACTTAATGATGGCTAGGGAGTGCCTCTCATCAACATTAACTGGCAAAATCTTCTCAGGAAATCCGATCATCGGTTCTAGGGGTTGACGATAGAATACATGGTCTGAGCCATTCAGCAATGCTAATCCTAAGTCGCATCTATAAATAATGAGTATTTGCCCCATAGACGGGCTTTTCGGTTGCTCACCTTAGCATGTCCACCAAGAGCTGTTTGCCTTTGAAAATTTCCAAACCCCCTCTTAGGTCCACCATTCTGCGAATGCCTTCCATATGTTGCTTTGAGCTGCTGAAGTCTCCATTGAAGTACGCCGCACTCGCCAGCTTCACAACAACACCGATCGTTGAATCGCCAATCTTAGTTCCGTCATCCTGGCCCAGGAGCCTTTCGCGAAGAAGTTGCAATCCCTTCTGAAAATGTAGCATCGCAGTTACATTAGTGCCATCCTGGTGACAACGCAAAACCCTGTCGATGAATTCTTCGATAGCAAAAGCTGTTATATGGAGCGCTGCTGCGTCTAGCGCGACTAATTGAAGCCAGTCTTTATTGTCCGCCTGGAATCCAAGCGCTCCGACCAAAGGAAACATGATCCTTGTTGCAAATCTCGAGACTGTTCGTACAACATGTAAGTAGCTGTATTTTGAGAAGCTGGAGAGCCTATTGACGGACCTTTTGTCATATTTAAGAGCATAGAAGCTTCTATCTCAGCAGCGAAGTCGATAAATGAGAGGTCCGAGCCAACGCGGCTGGGTATTGTCGGTTTGTATATCTTAGACACGTCCTCAAATCTGACCCGTAGTCCTCGAGTACGGCTGGATGCAGGGACTTGGCTAGTGGTTCGCCGGTATTTGTCAGTGCGACAATGTTTTTGCTTTTTGCCTCGCATCACATGGCTTCTGATTAGCCGCCTGGTCGCTGGATCTACTTTTTCGATGGATGATGTTACAATGAAAGGCATAGATGCATCCGAGTCTAGATAGGGTCCGACTTCACGCCGCTTTGCCATATTGTTCATCTTGGCTGTCTGATTTGATTGCCTGACTGGGCAAAGTTTCGAGGTCATGTCGAGAAGTCCGGGCTATCCTGCTTACATCATCCGGTCTGGAGAGGATCCCGGAATGCCAAGACTTGCTTTGTATGCCATTTTGGGTATAGCGCCCGAAGGTTGGCAAGGAAAGTCCGGGCGCCAGTCCGTTCCTGGCCTCCTGGGGTTGATGGACTTAGAGCCCCGTGATGCAGAAACTCCGAATGAAAGCACTGGAAACTCAACTATAAATGCACTGAAGGTTCCTTTTTATAACGGCTGGACTTAAACATGTTCTTCACCTATTTCTCTTTGGCATTGATCGCATTGTTAGGAACGCAATGGCTTCTTTGCGAAAATCTGTGCTCATAACCGGCTGCTCTGCGGGTGGCATTGGCGCGGCTCTGGCCGAGGTCTTCACTGAGAAGGGTTACCATGTCTTCGCAACCGCACGAAATCCTTCAAAGATATCACCAACGCTCTCGAATGCACCGAGTGTGACACCTTTGACCCTCGACGTTTTATCCTCCGAATCTATTACAGCTGCAGTCGAAAGGGTTACTAGAGAGACCGGCGGCAAGCTCGACGTTCTCGTGAACAACAGCGGAGGAGGGTATATTGCACCAGCTCTAGATACATCGATTGAAGAGGGCAAGAAACTGTTCGACCTTAACGTCTGGGCACCATTGGCTATGCTCCAGGCGTTCGCCCCTCTGTTGATCAATGCTCAGGGGTGTATTGTGAATAACTCCTCTGCCAATGCGTATTGTCCCATGCCGCTCATGAGTAAGTGCTGATCTAGACAACTACGACCGTTCATTCACTAACGAGCAAGGTATTTACAACGCATCAAAGGCTGCCTTTGCTTCGGCGAGCGAGACCTGGCGTCATGAGCTTCAGCCTCTGGGAGTTCGGACTATCACTCTCATAACCAGCGGGGTCAAGACCAACTTCTTTTCTGACCCTCTTGCGGTCGAGATCCCCGAAACATCGAACTATTATCCCATCCGAGACTTCATCCAAAGCATCAGCGACGGCCGGCTGCAAGCCAATGCTATCAGCTCGAGGCAATATGCGACCAAGGTGGTGCGCGAGATCGAGAAGGGCACGGCTGGAACAGTCTGGGCCGGAACAGATGCTCTGATGGCTCGTCTGGGAGTCTGGCTGTCACCACAGTCGCTTTTTGTCAGTTCGGAGAGTTCCCTGCCGAAAGTCGCCAGCTAACAGAGATTATGCAGGACAAGATCATCGAGAGTGTTGTGCCCATCTCCAGCGAGATGGCCAAGGCCGCGCACAAGAAACGACCCTGAGAGCTCGGATCGCGTGACGTGCCATCATCAACTCAGACGAGGGAAGTTCCTGGGGATTTTCCCTCAATCTGTCTCTTCTTAAAAAAAAATTTCTTTCTTTTCCTTCGGACACCTTTCAAGGATATCTTTGTCAATCACAGATCCGGTGTAGTCTAGTGTAAAGACGGCTCAGTGTTGCATGGTGGGGGTTCATCAATAATGTTCGTCGAGAACCGTGGCACCTAGCGCGCACCGCCCTAGTAATGTGAAATATTTCATTTAGATATCTAAGGTAGGTAGGCAGCTAAGGTAGAAGAGAACGGCGAGTTTAGCACTCGGACCGGAACTGGCAGGTGTCGGCCCTGTGTGGTGGGTGGTGGCCTGCCGGGATCGGCCGGATCACGGCGACGGGGCAGGGCAGGTGCGCGGCCCGGGGGTTCTTTGGAAAGACGGGTGGGGGGACCTCTTACCAAGGACACTACATGCTACCTATCTACCTAGATACCTAGGTGGGTAGAGGTAGGTACCCAGGCACTGTATGCACAGAATCTTACAGCAGTCGCTCTGTCAACTTCCTTCGAAGACGAGCTCTTGATGCGTATAAGATAGGCATGTACCTCAATATATCACATAGGAAAACATTCGAAAGGTTCGAAAGGCGCCAGAGTCCAATACGGACCTGCCCAGTGGCGTGCACGCTACATAATAAAGGAGGCTGAAGGGTTTGTTGGATGAAAAAGCTTGCGATGACGCCATTTCTTAAGCTACCGACACATCACCTTACTCTTACCTAGGTAGGAGTCGTAGCCCAGCAGCCCGCCCGGCGCCGTCTTACCAGTACATTACCTACCTACAGTACCTAGGAGCCGAGATACCCTACTTACCTAGGCACCTTTCAATCAAAAAGTGAGTCAACTTGGATGGGTCCCGCCGCGCCGGCTTCGGTGAGAAATTGACCGGGTACTTACCAAGGTAGCGGTTAGTAAGGATTAGTTGCCGAGCGACATGGGCAAGCGAAGTACCTAAGAGAGTGAAGAGAACAAGAAAAAATAAAATAAAATAAAAAGCCCGGCGAGATTCAAATATGCGACAGAACCCACACTCATCGCCGCCACAATGTCTACTCGGTTTGCCTCATTACCATCACCACCGCTCCGACTCCGACTCCTATTCTTCGTAGTCGTCGTCGTCCTCTTCCCTTGAGCTTCCTCGAACTTCTTTGGGCGTGACAATGGCTGTCACAGAGGCCTCGTCAACCCTGCCCGGCATGGCCCCGAAAGAAAGTGCTCAATGCACGCCTCTGACATCTACGACGCCTTCTCTGCTAGAAGCAGGAACGCTGGCCCCGACTGCCTCCGAGTCGCCAATTCCGGCTGCGAACCCTCCGCGCCCGGGCGGCCATAGACGTGGTTGGATGGCCCAGTTCAAGGAAGACATCAGCCTCTCCTACGCGGACCTCCCCGTGCTGGCCTGCTGTGTGGTTTCAGGTCTTTGCGATAGCGTCGCCTTCAACGCTGGCGGCGTCTTTGTCAGCATGCAGACTGGTGAGTTCTTTCGTGTTGCCGAATGCTGCTGCATCTGCCATCCTCCTCCCACTTGAGAGGCTATACTCGTCGCTAACCGTCGTCATGTCTCATCTCACAGGAAATACCATCTTTCTTGCCCTCGGCGCCTCTCGTCTTCCATCCAGCCAACCTATACTCTGGCTCAAAGCACTCGTCTCGATCGTCGCCTTCTGGCTCGGCTGCCTTACCTTCTCTAAGTCGCGGCACTTCCACCCACAGCGCAAAGCGACTCTATCCGTGTCCTTCCTCTTTCAGTCCATCTTTATCTTCGTCGCCGCCTCCTTGGCACAAACGGCCGTTGTTCCTGCCTTCTCCTGGTCGTTACTGGGCTCTCCAGGGCACAACGAAGACGCACGTGAGGCGGAGGAGAACAACAACATAATCCTGCTGCCATTGGCTCTGTTGGCATTCCAATTCGGGGGCCAGATCGTGACAAGCCGCATTCTAGGGTTCAACGAGGTGCCCACCAATGTACTGACATCGGTCTATTGTGACCTCTTCTCGGACCCCAAGCTGCTGGCGCCTTTGAGCAAGAACCCGAAGAGGAACAGGCGACTTGCATCTGTCATTCTCATGGTAATTGGAGGAATCGTCGGCGGGTGGCTACAGAAGAGTCGAGCCGGGATGGCATCCGCTCTTTGGATCGCTGGATCGATCAAGTTTGCCCTGGCTCTGGCATGGATAGGATGGCAAGGAAGGCGTGTTGAAGTTGATGAAAAGGCAAGGAGTTAATCGCACATAGAATAGTTAACGATATAGAATAGAACAGCACCTGTAAGATAGCGAGATGATAGAGGTTTCTTCTGTCTTATGCAAGCCCAGAAGTCATTTCAGTATGACTTTGAAGGTGCCTCTGAGATTGCGTAAACTTTTCCAAATTTCTCACCTATGGGTACTAAGGTGAGGTCATAGTTATATCATTGCCCGACATAAACCAATGTGTCAAGATGATTATAATAGTAGTGTACGCGGTCTGGCATGCTGCAACCGTTATCGCCTCACCAGCCACCTAGGATCATACCCGCTGTAGTGCATGAGGGAGGGTGACATTGTTGGCCGCATTAGGAAGGTCAACATGCGGCTACCAGCATCATGTAGTCACCTTCTAAGCAGAGCAGTACTGCATAGTATATCTCCACCTGATAGCTGTTGTTCACACGAAAACGAAGAGGAGTAACGAGATTCAGCGCTGGTGCGTAGTGAGGGGGTAGGTCGGACGACCTAGTTGACTTGCAAGTCTGACCCAGCAGCTAGGCAGCTTGCACAAGCCCCTCATATGGTCGATGCGAGCCGCGTGGAAGTAGATTGATGATAATAAAACAAGCTTCAACATGGATCTACAGGCTGCAGGGTTGACCATGATCCTAGCTCCGGCTGATTCCATAGCCAATGAATCGACGGGGTAGTCATCCAGCATTGCCACGCATGAAATAGAAAAGCCGGGCTTGGCCAACATGCATACGGAACCTATTTTTCAATACTCTGCCCAGGACCAGTGATTCTCACAGACACTCGATTCGACAAGTGCCAGTAATATGAAGCATTTACTCTTCAGTTCTGAAGCATTGGTGGCACTCATTCTCGCAGGAGCTGCGATCGCACGACCGAACGAGCTCCCCAGCGCCGTGGGGACCTTGTATAAACGAGAGTTGAATGGCATCGAGTATAATGTCTTCCACCACAGGTCCACTGATGTGCAAATCAACTACGTGTCAAACTCGGGGATCTGCGAAACTACCCCTGGCGTTGAGCAACATTCCGGATACCTTTCTGTAGGCGAGGATATGAACATGTGGTTTTGGTTTTTTGCCTCGCGCAACAATCCGTCCTCAGCACCTCTGGCACTGTGGCTCAACGGTGGTCCTGGCTGTTCCAGCATGATTGGACTATTTCAAGAACATGGCCCCTGCCACTTTGTCAATGGGTCATCAGAGCCCACGCTGAACGAGTATAGCTGGAATACATACGCAGTAGGACTGTCAAGCCTGTCCAGTACAGGCAATCGCTAATGGAGCACTCGACAGAATATGCTTTATGTTGACCAGCCAATCGGGACTGGGTTTTCATATGGTATGCCATCCAATTGCATCTGAGAGCATCAACTAATGCCACGTAGGAGACGATGAGGTGAATTCCACCGTAACTGCGGCTCCCTACGTTTGGAAACTCCTCCAGGCCTTCTTCGCCAATTTCCCGGAATATGAAACCCGGGACTTTGGTCTGTTCACGGAGAGCTACGGAGGGCATTATGGCCCAGAGTTTGCGGGTTAGTCTGCCAATAGTGGCTGTGAACATTTTATTCTTATTATCTCCTCCTCCCTTACTCAGCGAGGAATGATGCGTCTGACCACTACAATCATCCCAGAATACTTCCAAAACCAGAATGATGCGATCGATGCTGGCACGCTCTCGGCAGAGAAGATCAATCTGGTTGCCCTCGGAATTAACAACGGTTGGATTGATGCGACTATCCAGTATGGCGCTTATGTCGACTTTGCGTACAACAATTCCTATAGGCAACTGATAAATGAATCGGAGTATGTCTCGCTGAAGGAGGAGTTCGAAACGGGATGTCTACCGCGGTTGCAAGCTTGCCCGGGAGAGACAGGAACCGATGCAGCTTGCCAAGACGCAGATGATTTCTGCTATGAAAATGTGGAGGCATATGTGGTGAGTCTGACGACACAAAGCCGTTCAAGATACAGGGCTAGAAAGTGTGTTTCCTGTTTCCATGCTAAAATATCCTGCAGGAAGACTCTGTCGACTTTAATGTTTATGATATTCGACACCCTGCTGACGATCCTGAGCCACCAGAAACCTATGTGGATTACATCAATAGAGATGATGTGAGGGCGGCGATTGGAGCCCAAGTAAAATATGAAGAATGCCCAGATGCGCCATACATAAAGTTCTATAACACAGGAGATGGTAAAGGATTTTGAACGTCATGCATGCGTAATGCTGATTATCAAAACAGATGGACGATCGTTCTTGACCTCACTCAATAGTGTGGTCCAATCAGGCATCAATGTGCTCATATGGGCGGGGGACGCTGGTGAGTATACCCGCGAGATGAGCCATATTGGTTTGCCAAATGGAAGGGAGAATATGTCTGAACTCTAACACTTTTATTATAGACTGGATCTGCAATTGGCTTGGCAATTGGGAGTCCGTTCATGCTATCCAGTATGGACAGTCCGCCGCGTTCGCAGCTACGCCTTTGAGACCTTACAAAGCGAACGGGACAGCATATGGAGAATATAAAGTTGCAGGAAATCTGAATTGGCTGAAGGTGTACGAGGCTGGGCATGAAATACCATATTACCGTAAGTTTCCTCAGCTGAAGATGGGCCTGATTCCCATACTGACATAGTGGAACAGAGCCAAAAGTTTCACTTCAAGCATTCTGGCAAATATTGCAGAAGCAGTCGCTACACTCCACTTGCAAATAGATTATCGGACTTGAGAGTAAGAGGCCGTAGATATAAATGAGCTAGGGACTGAAAGTTACATGCGATATGAGGTATAAGACCATGGTGACCACGATTCATTGTCTCAATACACCTACCCCGTCAATATAACTCCCTGTAGCTTGAAATTCAGTGTCCAGTGCGTCATGTACGTAAGTTGTGCTTTGTCGTCTAAAGGTTCTCAGCCGTGTAGGATTAGATGACTATGGGTTGGTATGACAAGCAGTAGATACAAATTCTACCTTCTCAAGACAGCGTAGATGCTTAGACTTCAAATTTTCAAGTCTAAGTGGAATAGTGTGCAACGTATCCCACCTCCATCATGCTACCATACCCATCAAGGGTGCTGTCATTTGGATAACCTGGCTATTGTGGTTGAGCAAGTTAGACAGATCAACGGCAATTGATAGATAATTGAGTAAGCTTACCCATGTTCCTCCTACAGCCATGTTTAGCAGGAAGTACAGGTTACTGTGGCAAAGCGCGTTCCAAATGTCTTGAGTTAAACTGGAGCCAACAATACGGTGGAACTGAGTGCCATCCATGTACCAGGTGATGGACTCGCTCTGCCAAGAACTAGCTGTGCGATCCCACTGGATACGCCAGGTATGCCAACCTTGGTCTGGTATAGTGATATGATTGCCGATTCCAGTGCCTTCGTTACAGACACCACCAGGATATGTACCGCAGTGTGCCGTACCATACCCGATTAGCTGGCCGTTCACAGTCTCCATGATATCGAGTTCTCCACAAGCTGGCCATGCGGTGCCGTGTCGAATGGAGTCGCCAAGTATCCAGAAGGCAGGCCACAGACCTGCCTTATTAGCGATGGCGTTTGTCCCGAACCGAATTTGGGCCTCTGCCCGGGTCACCTTGCCAGCTGTTGGCGTGAAAACATATTTACTTTCGATTCTCCCAGAAGTCCAGCCGTTCGCTACAGAAGAATCACGCCACGGAACTAGTTGTAGTGTGGAGCCCCCACTGCGTTGGACATTCTTGGTGGACGATGTATAAGTTTCCAGCTCAGCATTTACGCCAAGATTCCCGGTAATGATGTTCCACAATCCGCTGTCCGGGAGAGTACCCGCGTCACCAACGAAGTTGGCCTGCCAGATAAGGTTGTATCCTGAGTACCCAGGTGCATCCCATGCCAGAGCGGGCGATGTGACAGATAGAAGTGTCAGGCAGACAAATGACTTGGCAAGATACATGGCGAATGACAAAATATACACAACAAGACTGATCTAAATATTTACAAGAAGATGAGAACGAGAAAGAGCTAGTTGGGTTGAGCTGATAAGGAGGCTTTGCACCGCAGTAGATGAGATTTACACCCTCGAGGGTCACCAGCGCTTTAAATATGCATCTTTAGCTTGGGCGATTGAAAATCAAAACTAGAGATCAGGGGGCACCATGGCGGGCGCAATAGCAACGTTGGCATTATGACATTTTACTTCTCAGTCTAGGCATGGCAACGTTGAGATTGGGTAGTTTGACCGCTGTCATGAGCAGAGGCTTCGCCGACTTTGTCTCAAGAAGGCAGCCCACCCTGGCATATCATTTCCGGTACTTGAAAGCGGCCACATCCGTTGTAGGTTTGAGTTGTAGACCTAATCGAAGCCATTCATCTTCCTGGGTCTCAGAAAACCCGCGTGATTGGAGCACAGCTATGTGCAATGTGAGACCATTTCCAGGGTTGCCAGATCTCGAGGACCTGGGGAATGGCCGATAGGCCCAGTCAGATATCGAGAAATAAAGCTTTAACCAGGTCAGAAGATGGTGTCACAGACTAACACACGGTCTGCCGGACAAGAAATGTAATGTTGTCTCAACGGCGAGTCTACAATCTTGTACCTGCAGACACTCTGGCCAATGACATGATGGGCGCGGCAGATTTCTGGAAATGAAGGGCGTGCGGATGGCGTGGCGCGCCCAGGGATACAGCGCCCTGGTCTACTGCATGGATGGTAAGCGGCGTTCCTGGCACTAGCAGATGTTGTGCCGGGAAACCGCCGATCTTACCTGGATTCCTGCCCTCCCAGAGCGTGTTGCACTTGTCAAGCCATGCTATTAGTAACGCATCTCTTCCCAATAGATCACTCAGAACAATTCCTGGAGATTTGATCTTTTCTGCGTCGGAAAACACAATGCGGCGCGTCGCCGTGATCAGAGATCGTTTTCAAATGTCGATGGTTCATTTATCTCCACATAACCCGAGGTTCATACGACCACCGATTACGGCGCCGCGATAGTTGATATCTAGAGATAGACCAATGCAACCATGGCCTTTTCGGAAGCAGTGTGCTCCTCCTGTATCTCGAAGGGTAAGGTAGCCTTTGTGTGGTATGTGCACGCGCGCGCGAAAGGGGTAATGTTGCTACATGCACGTGTTCTAGAGCGTGGAGCCTTAATCAGACCCGATGCAACTCTTATCGCGGAGTCAACAAGTCGTGGCATTCCGCCTTTCCTAAGACGACATCCATGTGATATCTTGGCTGAGAATAAAGGAGGTCGAATCCTACCCACACGGACCACTGTCGCCGCCGACGTTTGTCCGGTGGCCTAACCCCGCTTCCGAAGTTCCAACACCCTGTAGTCGGTGTCCTCGAAGCATATCTCATGACGGGTGGCACTGGCAAGTCCTCGAGTACATGCGATGGTATCATTATCGCGAAACAGTTTGATAAAGCATGTCAATAATTATGTTAGTTCAAACTAGAGGTCCGCTGCCATTTGTCCATTTGACTGAAGTCGGATGGAGTTCAGCTCCAGCCACGAGCCCACGACGTAACATGGTGACTGTTGGGAGCTTTGGGCCCAAGTAATAGTGATCATGTGGCTTCTCGTCAGCGATACAAGATCTTTTTCAACCCCGGACAAACGTGACCATCCAGCATCTATAGAGGCGTCCATTTCCCCGAGTCTCAACTTGAAAGCCCATTTTACCCTTTCCGATGACAGGCTCAATCTAAGTCTTCTCAGATATATGCCCGCAGAAACTCAACCAATGCCATCATGGCCATTGCCTGCCCATATGGCATGCTAGTGATAGGAATGTCCTTATAGTGCTGGAGGGTCGTGCCCATGGCTGTGCCAAACGATGTGTTCAGCAATTCACCGCTGGCATCGATATTGTCGAGGACTGCCTTGATAGCCTTGATTGCAACAGACTCGAAGTCTTTGCCAATATATCGTTTTCTCTGTGCTTTGAGTATTCCAAAAGCGAACCCAGCTGTCGCACTAGACTCGACATATGATCCTTCGTCTTCTGGGATATCTAAGAGCGTGCGCCACAGCCCTGAGTCGGTTTGCAGCGGCCGAAGAGCCTCGCATTGCGCAGCTAACGCGTCCCTTAGATGACTACCAACAGGATCCTTCAGATCTAGTCCTACAAGTTCAATAAATTCAGGAATAGCGATGGTGAGCCAGCTATTTCCTCTCGCCCACCTCGCTTCTGCGAAGTTGTGTCCCCCGTCTGCAAATGTCCACCCGTGAAAGAACAAACCACTCTTAGTGTCAAAGAGATACTGTATATGCAAGAGAAACTGCTTTGTCGCCTCGGCAACATAATGTGGCCGGTTCAGAACGAGCCCAATCTTGGCCAGGGGAAGGACTGTCATCATGAGAGTATCATCCCATAGCTGCTGGTCATGGAGGCTCAGGTATGTGACGTGTTGCATGCCACCGTACTTGGTCCTTTCCAAATCATGATACGCCCACTCTCCCCAACTGTCGAGCCACGGCAGGTAGGTCGCATTGCCTGTTTTGTCATATACGAAGGCCAGAGTAAGGAAGACAGCCATTGTGTTGATATTTTTTGTTGTGCCACCGGCTGCGAAGCGGTCTCGGAACCAATCCTCAATGATTTTCAGACAAGCTTCATCCCCAGTCAGCTCATAGTATTGCCATATTCCATACAGCCCAACGCCATGTGTCCACTCCCAATCGTTCCAACCCTTTGTGTCGATGACGCGGCCATCATCGAGTTTAAGAAGAAACTCCCCTGTTTGGTCCTTGATATTCACCAGTCCATCGATGAGCAGCTTGATCTTTTCGTGGATGAGACTCGACTTAATGCCGTGAATTTCGGCAGGCATGATGAAGGTATTGTAGGCTTGAGACTAAAACTCGTCCAAGTACAATGTGCGGTGCTCCAATGAAATGCCGAGGACAAGCGATCGATCTTTGAACAAATGCCGGCTGACTACTTGTTCTTGACGGCTGACGGGCACGAGGCAGATGAGACACAGGTGGGCTTCCTGATGTTTGGCACGTGAAGTGTCGAAGGCGTAAGGAGCTTAGCTTCATCCGAGCGCGGCGCCGCCATATTATACATTTGGCAATATCTTTGGTGGATAATTTCTCCGGTGCTGCAATGGGGCATCTCGGTCCGAATGACACCGAAACAAGAGTTTGGGGACCTAAGCTGCCTCCAACTTATTATGGGCCTTTCTAGGGAGCGATTCAGGAGTCTCTATTACCCCGCGGCTACAGTACGGTTACTACTGGAGTGTCTCATCTCTATGTGGGGATGTCCACAGGACCATCTAGCAGTTTGCTCACCAGGGCTCATTCTTGGGGAAGTGTGGAGAGATGGAGCCAATCGCTCTTAGATAAAGCGGGGGACAACATCGAGGACGGGCCAGCCACGGATTCTCGGGCCAATGTCCCTCCTAGATTGTCCTAGAGTCATTTGTATGCCCTCTTTTCACCCACTGAAAAGCCTGTGGAGTATCTGGCCGCCTTCCTTACTGGCTGGTGACGGTGTATCGCAACACTTTAACACTAAGGTGAGCATTGCCGCTGGTGGTGATGGCCGGATGCAATTCCATTTTGTCACACACCCTGATAAAGGGCGTCCGCCATCCGGAAGTGAAGTCTTGGACTATCTTGGCCACGTTCTCCGACTTAACGAACGAGTCGCAACCCTGTATTCCCTTGGCTTTACACCCTTCGACAAGTCAACGAACGACTTTCTGTCTTGGCCTGCTAGGGTCTTCTTGTTAATGCCTAATTGCTTGATCGTTTGCCCAATAGCAGCAAATCTTGCAACCGCCTTTAGAAACCATGTCGAACTTAGAAGTAGTTGATCCCGAGGCTGTCATGCCTGCCCCGAATCGACACCAAGCCACGGAGGAGGACGGGAAGAAATCCCTTGATGGAATCGAGCATCTAGACCGACCTGGCTCCCCTGATGATGTGGAGAAAGATCATGTCAACTATGCCAAAGTGGACAGTGAGCTGGCAAGATACGTCGGCGACGGGCGGATTGACATCCCTCCGGAGGAGAATACACGACTGCGGCGAATGATCGACCGGCGAGTTCTTGTGATCATGATCGCCACATACTTCCTGCAAGCCATAGACAAAGGAACAATGTCATTTGCTTCAATCATGGGCACTATAGACGACACTGGCCTTCATGGCCAACAAGTATGTTTTGGCTCTATCATGATGTACATGCAAGCTAATCTGAATCGTGACAAAAGTACAGTTGGTTGACCACTTGTATCTACATTACAATCCTTATTGTTGAGTATCCTCAGAATTGGATCATTGCTCGCGTTCCCATCGCAAAATATTTGAGCTTTAGTATCGTTGCTTGGGGTACTATCCTTGCGTGCACAGCAGCATGTCACAACTTTGTTGGCCTTGTGACTGTGCGTACCCTGCTCGGACTGTTCGAGTCAGCATGCCAGCCAGCATTTGTTATCCTTTCGGCAATGTGGTATCGACGAGATGAACAAGCATCTAGGGTTACATACTGGTATATTTTTAGGTCATTCTCTTCGTTACTTTGGCTGATTATATTGGCAGGTACATGATGAATGGTGCTCAGCAAATTGTTGGTGGTCTCTTGGCATACTGCTTTAGCTTGATTGATAGCGGCCCTCTCAAGTCATGGCAATGGATCTTTCTAAGTTATGGTGTTATTAGCGTCATCTACGGCTTTTTTGTAGGCTGGTGGATGCCCGACTCGCCAATGAGGGCGAAATGTTGGTCCGAAAATGACAAACGCCTGATGGTTGAACGAGTTCGAGATAACCAAACAGGAATTCAGAATCGAGAATTCAAAAATGATCAGCTCTACGAAGCCTTTAAAGATCCGCAGGTTTGGGGCTACTCTCTCATCGCACTTTGCACAACTCTTCCCACTTCTGGACTGGGGGCTTTTCAAGGAATTATCATCAAGAGTTTCGGCTTCACTGTACTCCAAACCCAGCTCTTGGCCATGGTACTGGGTGCCTATATCATCATTGTCCTGCTAGGATCCGTGTGGCTGGTCAAGAAAACGAATCAGAATTTGCTTGTCATGCTGGGGTTTTGCGTCCCGTAAGCCGAGTCACTTTCGTTCACAAAGCTGTTTCGCTAATTTGTACTTAGATCATTTGTGGGCACTGCTCTTCTTATGACGGTTCCGCTTCACACATTCAGTCAAAAGGTTGGCCTGTGCATCTGCTACTATATCACACTGTCATTCTGGTCGGCGCAGACCCTCGCTCTATCTATGATTTCTCGAAACATTGCTGGTCAGACGAAAAAGAGTGTCGCTGTGGCTATCAACTTCATAATATGGGCTACTGGTAATGCTATTGGTATGATAAATCAAGACGAACCCTCATCATCATGCTCATATGTTTCTAACAGTCATATTTAGGCCCTCAAGTGTTTCTGGCTTGGGATGCACCCCGTTATTATATTGCTTTCGCCACGCACTTGGGATGTTACTCACTTCTTGTCATTGTCATTCTTGTTCTTCGCTTTTACTTAGTGCGTCAGAACAAAAAGAGAGATCAACTCGCCGCGGCTGGCGATCATACAGCTCATGATGAGAATTACACCCACGCTTTCGAAGACTTAACAGATCAGCAGAACAAGAACTTCCGATATGTATACTAGATATCAACCTAAGCTGATGTCGGAGTAAATGTAGATATACTTGATCATGTTGGAAGAATAACGAGTTGAAAGGGGCGCAGTTGCATATTCTAGGAGGACAAGTGGATATATTTGATCACAAGTGTGGAAATCTAGGTCTAATTGAGCAAATGGCCACACACGGACACACACATATATATACATATATTTGTAACGGCCGCATGGAGCAGATAGTAGTACGTCAGGGTGCCCATCCGCAAAAAGGTCCTAGGATACGGAAGGGCGTAGGTAAATCCCACTGTGGCCTCCTCTTTCTTCCTTTTTTCTCTTTCTCCATTTTCTTACCCTTTAGATATAGCAAATCTGTTTAGTCAGAAAAGAGGGTTAAGGGATAGGGAAAAATAGGCTAAAAGTAGGACTTACTAAGGGCTCTATTAAGGAGGAAAAGTAGAGATAGAGAGGATGTGAAGAGAGAATGTTTATGGGTGGATACTGGTTACTGTGGTAAAGCCTGAATTTTTCCCCTGCACTCTCTTTATTCTAGAAGGTCTTATAGACTCTAGGGAAATCATTTCTTGGCGATGTGAGGACTTGAGTGAGAGGTTTCTTAAGGTATTGTGAGAGATATTGTGTATCTAAAGGATTAGCTAGGTTGGGCAACTAGATATATCAAGGTGGAAATCTTATTAATAATAATACTTGTAACTATATCTTGTAAATGAGCTTCTCTAAACGGCTAAGTTAAGCGTCCAGAGCAGAATAAATGCCACCACCGCAATGCGGAATGGAGTGACATTGGCTGTGCAGTGTACTAAGTTCATCCATCGCATTTCTTTCATCAAGTCTTGATGTGTCAGGCGTGCAGAGTACTGAATTCTCGATAGCCTGCTGAAAATGAAAGACGAGGACAATGTCTCAACCGAGTGCATTACATAATACAGTCATTCAAAATCCACAAATCTGGGATTTCCACATCAATGTATGAACGAAGAGGTCTGCTGGGTATGCGATCGAAATGCGATTCAAGGCAGCCTGCTAAAATCTACTTTTTCATCAAAGTGGGGTTATTAAGCTCTGGAAAGGTAAAATAACTTGAGGACGTTGCCTGGGAATCACAAAAACTTTTGAACCGGGAAGTAAATATCACCTCAAGTGGGTTGTGTTGCTATTGCTGGGTTCACGCGAAGCCTCTTCTATCCTTTGGCGCGGATATTCTAGCCAATCACTCCACTCCTCGCCTAGATACTCGGTGATGATGTTCAGAATGTACGCGCCTGAGTCCCCGACCTGCCACATACTCCTCGCGTAATGTAGCAGAAGGGCATAATAACTTAGCACAACCAAAGCCACTGGATGTTTTGATGCCAGCAAACTTGTGAAGTTTGGAACAGAAAGCATCGGCCACGACACAATCATCTGGTACCGATTACCCTCCTCATTCTCCGCCAATACTGCGTCGAACCCAATTTGTAGATAATGGACCGCCTTGCGGCACGCCTCTTTGCCCTCCTCCATCAAGTCACTCGTATTCTCTATTAGATTAAGAGGTAGGTGACATTGGTCACCTTTGGGTGACCTAGAATTGTACCCTGAGCTCCAGGATAAAATAGGCCCAAGCTCTTTAGAACCCATTAATATTGGCCAGTTTGTAGTAGCAACCGTGTAAACACCTCTGTGCATCTCAACACAGTGAATATAATGTGTCATGAAAGCATCAAGCCCGCCGGAATCTCGCTTTGCAAGCGTGTCTGCAAGAACATGGTGCCCTAGCGCCGATGTAAAGAGTAAAACAGCAACGCAATTAGTGTTGTTGATTCCATTCCATCCAGCATTGAATAGTGAGACAGCGCGGGTCTGGAGGGCGACAGCCTGATGAAGGTAAGCGGCAGAACGCTCAGGATGCAGAAATGCCAAGCGACGGGCAGAAAAGGCGAGCATCTGGTGCAAAAGATATGGAGCCTTGAGGCCCGTATCAAGGGCAAGTGCTAGAGCTGGAGGATGGTAGTCGTCCATAGTAGCACCGAGGTTGTACATATCCTTGTCTTTGTCGAGAGCAAGATGGAGGATGAGTTCCATGTGATTCATATTCACATTTTCATCAAAGGTAGCCTCTTGATGAGTTATGGTCGTACTTGAATGCGCTGGAGAGCTGGGATGCGACAGGGGGGTGACAGTCAGCGGGGAGAGACTAAGGGCGCTGAGACTAGGTTGGCTGCAG